AAGGTGTTCTGCCCGGGGAGCGGCCAACACTCCATGTGATAGTTCGGAAATATTCTATATATACTGTTTATGATAAGAATTTTGATAGCGTGATTTAGGCTTCGGTGTGTTTCGCTTGCGGCGCGACGACAGCGCCGCGACACCCTTAAACGACGAGCATGTATGAAAAGGTATATGGAGGAGGCGAGAGAGGGGTATCAGAATCATGCCAGATGGAAGTTTGTAGTCTCTGCCTACACCTCTGGGTTACAGGAGTCAGTGCTGTTAGTGCTTTGTCAGTGCTTTTACAATGTTCTTGAGCGAACTGTCGCTCAATTACCCGTAGAAATAGAGCAGTGAACAAATCCAACGACTCGTTGCCAGAGAGATTTAAGGTCTGCAATAAAGCCAAAAGCGGCCGCTTTGAATAAAATTATTTTAAATGATCGCTTACATTTTAGTTAAATTTAAATGTGTATGTGCATCACTAAAATACCGGTATCGTGGATCGAGAGTAAGTGAGAGGTTACGTCACTATAGCGGAGCGTCACATTGATGGTGGGGAGGTGGAATTGAGGGTATATCGAGAACTTCTACTCATGTGTGCAGTATAAAGCTCACTATAGGCACCGTACCTCTTAATTCATTCAATAAGTGCTAAAATAGTAGCAAGGATGTAGTTGTGGCCGCCTTGTAATTGCTCTATACTAATTGTACTTCGAAATAACGTCGAAAGACACAAACTTTGGATATTTTCTCAGACCCCTTACGTCGCTTTAAAAGGGTAGTCTCTCAATTGATAAACGATTTTTAAAATATTTATTGTGTTACTTTTATATGTTTCTTTTTTTATTACTGTATAAAATAATTTTAATCTTAATAATTGTATTTTAATAATTGTATTTTAATTTTTTTTAATTAGTAATTCAAATTGAAATTATTATTGACATTATACTGACATTGTGTTCATTCTTTTACTTATTCATAAACATTTTTTCCTTATATAATAACATTTTAATTCTTTAACATTAAAATTTTGGTATTGTTTTATATTTTCGTAAGCAAAACGTAACGTTTAAGGTTAAGGTTTTGTAAATCTGATTTGTATTGTTTTTATTGTAATGTTCACTTTAAGATAACTATTTATAAAGCAAAAAAGCAATGTGAGTATGACGCTCAATATTCATGTAGTTTACACCTACTCGTATAAAACACAAGACAAATAAATAAATAAATGTATAGAGCGTTACGCTTGCGTAAGCAAGAGAGCAATTTGAACATCCGCTCTAACACTTTAGCAATAAACCTTTCCTGATGTATTTCCGCGATCAGAAGTCGGATCTCCTGTTATGTATTCCCTACATATTAATAAATTTTGTACCAGATCTTAAAGTCAGAATGCCTTCTTAATACTAAAAGTTCTCAGGTTCTCAGTTTTTCCTCATTAATCACTACATTTGTCTTTTTTTTCTTAGAATTCTACTATCTCATACCATCCTGTGATAATGTAAGAGCTGACATACCCGACCACCACGTGTCGTCCAATAGATGTCATTAAAGATGTCAAATGGAAATTATACTGGAGATGGACAGCAACAACATCCTTAGAACAACTCAATTATAAAGCTGAGGTTAACCCCTCGACCCTGTAAATATCCGATGCAGTCGCATGCTCCTGGCAAATCCCGAGTGTTCGCATGCTACCGCACCCATACGCAGCACTTAAAACCATTAAAACTTATATTTAGAGACTACTTTTCTATGAAAAAGTTTGGCATTATAAAACCTATACAAAAGTCTATATATAAAAGTCAGGTTTTACTACATTATAAAAAGATGTATTTTGATAACAAAAACAAAACATACGTTTTTCGTTATTTTGGGAGATTTTAATCTGCCAAATATAACTTGGACTCTTGACGATGACTTGTACTCTCTTTGTCCAGAAAATATTGAGGGGTCCATTCAGTCCGACTTTTTTGACACCTTAAATACGTGTAATCTGCAGCAATATAACTCTCATACCAATGTTAACAACAGAATACTCGACTTAATTTTTTGTAATAATCACTTATCCGCAACAAAATGTACCGACCCTTTAGTGCCTGAAGACCCTCATCATGTGGCTCTTAATGTTCTAACGGATTTTGTCGAGTACCACACTTTACCAGTCCAGCCAAGGACTAAGTTTATGTACCATTTAGCTAATTTCTCCTGTATATCACGAGAGCTTGATAATTTTACATGGTCTCACGATCTTTTTAAGGGCACAGTGGACGATGCATTGTCACTATTATATACTCGACTAAACAACTTGTGCGGCACTTATATACCAACAAAAGTAGTAAAATCTTCTTCTAAATATCCCCCCCTGGTATAAAAGCCCTCTTATAAAAATTTTAAAGGAAAAGTTTAAATATCATACCAAATATAAAAAATATGGCAATTTGTCCGATCATGAGTCTTTTTTTAGTATTATGTAATCGCGCCAAACAATAAGAATCCGAAATGTTCAACAATTATATAGCAAAGACAGAACTCAGCATAAATAAATCGCCAAGAACCTTCTGGTCCTTCGTGAAATATAAAAAAGCGTCAAACGCTTGTCCATCTATAATGAAGTATGGAAACATATCATCAGGCCAAGGGGATACCATTTGTAATATGTTTAGAGATTTTTCCTTTGGTAATTTTCACAAAGTTCGCAATAACTATAACACCCGATATGAGCCCGATAATTGGCGATCACATACTGTGTCGGGTATAAACTCGATACAAGTTAGCGAAACTGAAGTCTTTAAGCTTTTAAACTCGATTGACCTTAATAAATCTGCAGGCCCAGATGGTATACCACCCATTCTTATAAGTGTGCTAAAAGATTGACTATACCGTTAACAATAATATACAGATGTTCTCTCAAGGAAGGAATAGTACCTCTTATTTGGAAATCTGCATTTATTACCCCCATCCATAAAAATGGTCCAAAGGACCGTGTAGAAAACTATAGGCCAATATCCAAGCTTTGTTTATTCAACAAAATCTTTGAGAAAATCGTATACTCGTCTGTATATCATGGCATCAAACAAACACTCAGTGATTATCAACACAGCTTTTTAAAAGGTAGATCCACGGTTTCGAACCTTATTGTCTGTTCTGACTATTTAACTAACATCATGTCTGAGCGCTTACAAGTTGACGTAGTTTACACTGGTTACAGTAAAGCATTGACCGTTTAGATCACGTTATACTTCTCAGAAAACTACTCGAGGTAGGTATCAGCGGCGACCTGTTTAGGTGGTTTAAATCTTATATTGAGAATCGTTGTCAGACAGTAGTACTCAAGTTTTACGTCAGCAACTGTGCAAATCCCTTCAGGTATACCGCAGGGATCTCTATTAGGTCCTTTGCTCTTTGCGATTTTTATAAATGATATAGGTTCCTGCTTCACTTACTCCAAAATAATTCTTTATGCTGATGACATGAAAATTTTATGTCCCATTACAAATACTTCTGACTGCCTTGGTCTGCAGCGTGATCTCAATGAACTTGAACGATATTGTTCACGCAATAAACTTGACTTGAATGTGTCCAAGTGTTTTATCATTACTTTTACCCGTAAACCCAATCCCACTGTCTTTCATTACAAATTAAAAGACACTACTATAGAGAGATTACAGTCAGTAAAGGATCTTGGTGTATTTTTCGATTCTAAATTTCTTTTTGATGCACATATTGACAATATCATTAAAAAAGCCAACAGAGCACTTGGATTCGTTTTGAGATTTTCCACTGATTTTCATAATATTAAAACATATAAGATACTTTATTGCGCTCTTGTTCGCAGCCATTTAGTGTACGCCTCTCAAGTGTGGAATCCAAATTATAACATTTATATAGATAGGATTGAGCAAGTAAAAAAGCGTTTTCTACGTTTTCTGCAATTTAAGACGCAATTTTACACTAATAACTACATTTCGCGATGTAAAAAATTTCATATTTTGCCTCTGCATGAACGTAGGCGCATAGCAGATATGATTTATCTTTTTAAATTGGCAAATGGTCATATTGGCTATCCGGAGCTACTGAGTAAATTAGGCTTTACAACCAGGGCTACCCTATTAAGAAAGCCTCGCTTACGCCACGTGCCGCATACCCGGAATAAATACAGGCAAATTTCTTTTATAATACGTGCATGCAGAACTTTTAATGACATTTCCAATAGCGTTGACTTGGATCTGTTTAGTACCAGTGTTTCTCGAATCAAAAATATTTTAGCGAAAAAAATCTTTTGTTGAATGTTTTTCTGTTTAATTTAGTTAATTTACTGTATTTGTCTTAATCGATGTTTATCTTTTACCGACTGGAATTATTGTTTTTAAATTCATATTCTCTATAGGTGAAAACTTTTAAATGGCCTTCTAGTTGTCATTCATTTATTTACTGTTAATGTTAGCTGTACGTTTTCCAATAAGAATAAAATAAAAAAAATAAAAATACCAAGCGAATGTCGGCAGTGTGAAAATCACAATTATTTCAGTATATTATATTATTCGAAATTATTTACGTAAAAAGATAAATTATATTCACACAAAAACAATTTTATAATAAAGAACTTTAACTAAAATACTAGAAAATCCAAAAATCAACACAATGAAATTGACGCGAAAATGGCGTACGAAATGAACGTAGATTATAAATAATTATCCATAGTAACTTGACATTTTATTGCACTAGAGGATAGAAAATTCACATATTGATTCTATAATGCCAAATTTCTTCATAGAAAAGTAGTCTCTAAATATAAGTGTTAATGGTTTAAAGTGCTGTGGATGTGCGCGGTCGAATACGACTGCTTAAATTTTGACGGAATAGCGCTGCGGTTGAATTCGACCGCTTCGAGGCTGAGGGGTTAACAACCTGTCTGTCAAGTATGATAACTATTGGGTTACCTGTGAGAGGCTCATGTTCGTCAGTAGAGTTTTGATAGTAATGAATGATAAGAATAATTATATATTGCAGTAATGCGTGGTGTAACATTCAACACTTGGTCGGAAACTCAATATGCAATGAAATATAAACTTAAAATGGGAAGCGTAAAGACGTCTTTCGCAATGCAACTTATTCAGATCTTCCTTTTCTTAATACTGTCCTGGGTTTTGAAGAAATTGAGGCCGGGAAAGTATGGTGTGGAATTACCGTGGAATTTTCTTTTTCAAGTATGTTATTTTATATTCTATTACCATACAATTTTCTTTTCCAAGTGTATTATATCAAAAAAGGGGTACCTGGAAAATAGTTTTTGCCATTCTTCTCCGGTGAGGGGAACATTTTTCAAATGAAATTTATTTATTTCCTATGTTGGAGAAATAAATATACTCCATTTAGTTTTATGGAATATTAACGTGTTGGTTATTATAAGTTTTAAGAGTGGCAAGCAGCCTCATGCATTACAGTATTCAGAGTAGCAGCTGAACTTGTTTCTGATGCACACAATTTTTACTCGGGCCTTAAACTTTAACTAAAAAGTTAAAAGTATGTGTAGTAGTAAGTACAGCCTACATACACGCCACTTTAGACACATGCCTCCTCACATTTCTGAGAGGGTTACGGAGCAAATCGGATGAAAGGAGAATGCAATACGGAGGAAAGTTGATAGACTTTCTTTCCCCGCTGAACACATAATTGAATTTCAATTTTATTTTTTATTTGTATCAGCGATGGTATAACGGGTTGGTTACGAAAATATAGTAGGAATTCGGAAACGCTAAAATTTTATAGAAAGCTATATTTTTTACTTTACCTGAATAACATTATAATTAATGTAATCCTTTCAGAACAAATATTGGACAAGCAGTGCTTATATTACGAAGAGTAATATTTATAGCAAGAAAAGTAACGACCCGTCCTATAAAAAATATTTTGTAGACTCTCTAGAAGATTTAGAAGTGGCAGTAACAGTTATTAATGTGCAAAAGGTAATTTTTGATCAATTTAATACTACTTTAATACTAAGTGAATTGAAATAAAATAAGTCAACTTCCACACAATTTAACATAGTGTGGAAACGCAGTAAGAAAATCAAGACCTTATATCGTCCTTGGGTAAAGTAAGATGCGACAGAGATATGAAGAGATAGGCAGCCACTTTTTCTAAAAATGACTTTATTGGGTGTCTGGAAGTCATCGCAGGTGCGTGTGAAAATATTTGAAAAGAGTCTCTAAAACAGCAATTAGACGCAGCTGAGATAAGAAATCGTTCTATTATTCTTCAATAAAGCGTTGTCATCTATCTTAAGACACAAGACTATCGCAATTCTGCCCCATGCTTTCAGAGTAGTGCCATTATAGAGCAAGAAAAGCTCCTGAAGAATTTTTAGTAGGTACTGGTTACCGATTTTGCACCTGTTTTCAGAATCTCGTTTTTCAAAGCCTTGTCGTTTTTAAGGTGCTAAAACTTCGCTTCAATCTTGCTTAGTCTTCTTGCCTTTCGCATAAAACTAAGAAAATACATATATTCGTGAATTAATAAAATTGACAACATTGAAAGTTTCGCGTAAAAATGAGTAACGTTATATAGAATTTTTCGCAGTTTTTCTCGAATTTCAGAAAATACTACATGAAAAAATACTAAGGAAGAAGTAAGTAGAGAAATGATTAGTGAGATTAAGTACTTATTTATTACAGATTTTCAAGATTGCCCGCACCAATATCATTGATTTAGACAAAGTGTCTTTAAATTTTTATAAAAACGAGATCACAGTACTTATTGGACACAATGGAGCAGGAAAAACAACGCTTTTGTCTATTATTGCAGGTTTTAATAAATTGTTATTACTAACAATTAAAATATATATACTAATATTTAATTTATTATATAATTTAAGTAATTGTTTATTGATCGAATCGCTTTTATAAAATAAATTTTATTTATATTGGTAAAATTCAGGAATAATTCTTATTTTAATGAATGCGCACTATCATAATAGGATATTTTACACCACGTAAAATAAAATCAAAAAATATGTATTTATGACAAATTTTGTAAAAAGTAAACAAGAAATATTGATTTCTGTTTACAAAGACTTGACTTAGCAGTCAGCCGCCGTAGAGTTAACATTACCTGAAGATGCCTCGTGTAGAGGCGAAACACGGGTCGTATTGTCGTCGATGTGGTGTCTTTCCTAGAATAGTGGTGTTGGGAGTAGGGGCGTTGGGAGTAGTGGTGCTGGGACTAGTGGTGACGGGATTAGTGCACGAAATTGAGGGAGGGCGGGAGGTGCTTTTCAAAATAGAGAAGACACATCATTTTATTTTATTTAGCGGATGGTTGCAAAATAACTATTAATATCTTTATTAAATTGATGGTGGCAAAATTTTTGCATACAATCGCAATTTCTGTTCTGCTGAATTGAGGAATGTTAAAACATCAATGTAAGTACCTATTACCAACTTTTGTTTATACAAAAACTGAATATCAGGTGAGAGTGTATTTTTATAAAACATAGTTTAGTAGCTATCACAGTTTAGTTTATCTATAATTATCTATCATTAGCAATTATTAGTTACAATATCTAAGTTAACGTAATTTATTACAAAATTTGAATTGCGACACCGTTCATCTCATGATGTTTGTTTTGTATTAAACGATAGTTAAATATAAGTCATACTTAAATCAAAAAGATCTTCACAGAAGAATAGTCTGGTTTATATAGACAATGTATTCGGGTATCTTCTTGCCAGTTTTAGCCAAGTACTTCTTATATTTAAATCAGTTATCACTTGAATCCACAATTTTCCTGACGTCCTTATGCTCGTATTTTTGCATTCAGGCACAACACAATAATGATATAGATGATAACTCATTATCAAACATTAAAAAGTATATTATTCCTTTGCAAAATCGGCAGAATCGACGACTGTGACTTCCCGAGTTGAACAACATGGCGGCTAGTGTTTTCACGCGAAAATTTAAAACGTTAGATTAAAAGTAATTTTTATGGCACTATATATATATATATATATATATATATATATATATATATATATATATATATATATATATATATATATATATATATATATATATATGTGTGTGTGTGTGTGTGTAATTGAATTCAATTTTTGTATATTTTCATTTAATATATAAATTATAATTAAAATTCGACCACAAGCCGTCATATGGCTAAGTTACTATAATTAGGTTCATCTGCGTAAAATAATGAGCGAATCCAAATGGCATTCCAATGAAAACGGCTATGCAATTCGGATTAAATGGTTCATAACCATAGCTTGATTTGAATAACTTGAAATCAAGCCAGCAACTCGAACAACTAAATGTGAGGCTTTGTCCTCATCACATTAAGAATCTGCCATTTATGTAAGATGTGGTTTTTCTAATTATTTTATTTCTAAACTTATTTAATTTTAAATGCGGTGTACTAATAAGTCTATTAATTTTATTTCTTAGGAATGTTAAAGCAATCTTCTGGCAACGTTTACGTCGAAGGTTTTGACACAGTTTTACAGCAGGCAAATCTAAAAAGAAGGATTGGACTGTGCCCTCAACATAACATCTTTATAAATGATTTCACAGTACAAGAACATTTGATGTTCTTCTCTATGGTAAATATTGACAAAAAATTTTATTAATTTGGATTGCATGTACATTACTCTTCGGTGGGCAGAATTATCTGCTGTACAAAGGCCTCTCCCGTAGCACTAATAACTTGTCTTAATCTCAAACAAATGCAGACAAAATGGTGAAGATATTGCTAAATATCCCTCAAGTAGTTGTACCGCCATCCATTGGAGACAATGACTTCTTTTACCTACTTAGCTAAACAAACTCTTGACTGAAAATTAACTTGATAATTACATTTTACTTACTTATATCTCCCAATGTCAACCTAATAATTGTTATATAAGATAAATAGTGATCTTTGGATCTCTTAACAACACCACCTACTGAGTCCAATTGTAAAAATAAACCATTTTCTTATCAAGTCCAGCCGTATAGGAGTAGTTCAGTCAAATTCATACGTGTACAGAAGAATTAAAAAAGGTCGGGGAAAAAGTTTTTTCGTATTTTATATACATACATACATAAACACTCACGTCTGTCACCCAGAGGGGTAGGCAGAGACTACGAACTTCCATTTGGCACGATCCTGACATACCTCTTTCGCTTCCTTTACGTCCATATACCTACGCATACATGCTCGTCGATTAACGATGTAGCAGCCAGGCTAACCAAACCTAAACGGGAATAAATAATATATACTCCGCTGCTACGATAACACAGAAGACGAAAATAAAAAACATTTATTTCCTAACTATCCCCTGCTACTGAGATACTGCGGACTGCATATCGATAATTTGACGTATATCTTTAACGTTCTTATAAAGAAACAGGAAGCAGCCGCAAATATCATTCAGCGCCACATCGTCTTTACACGCCGCTATCGTCACGTATCCGTCGATCAATTGTAAGCCGTTTCTTCAACGTCGCAGCTCGCTTCTTCTTGCTGTCCCGGAGCTGTGTCCCACGCCGGCGCCGCTCGCCGACTACGCGCGCGCGTTTTTTTTTTTGCGCCCGAAGCAAATATGGGCAACCCTCCGAAAAGCGGGGAAGGGAGGTGGGGAATGCTCATAGTATACCACGCAGCCGGCTGCGTGGTTATGTGGAGACTTTTACCCACTAAACACTACCTTTTTAGGAACAGGCTTAACGGTCTAACTAGAGATCTCTAAGCCGTATACGAACGCGACCCTCTTGGGCAGAAAGGAGTGCGCAAGCGGCGAAAAGCCGCTTAGAAGTGTGCCTAACTAAGGAAGATTAGGGGATGTGTTACGTAGGCTCGGCTTGAGCCGCCAGGAGGCAGTTCAGGTTAGCCGGAAGCTTGTGGGGGGGGGTCCGAGAAAGAGTTTCTCGGTCTGCGCACACTATAGCGAGTGTGGATAGGGGCTGCATAGGCAGCTGTCTCACGAATGAGATGATTTGGGTGGGACTCTGAGGCTTTGAAAAATCTCTCAGAGAGTGATTTAAGGAACTACTGAATTATTGGGAGCTCTAAGTCTCGGTTTAGGTCGGCATTACGGACGTAATAGGGTGAGTTAGTGGCCCTACGACAGAAGTGCGCGCGCGCCGACCTGCATGACTTTTATAGCCCGGTCCAGCGACGTAGCTACGTGAAGATAACACGAGTCTCACGCCAGCAAACGAAACGTACATTATAGTTGTATATTTTGATTAACCTTCATTGGTCATAATGTAAGAATTATAATTGGCTAGGGAAAATAAAAATTGTTACCATTGGTAAACCAACAATGTAGCGGCCATATAAATATAGGCAAGGTTGACGCAAATATATTCCATATTCCACATTCATACTCCATTCGGCTTTACATAAATAGTAGTTTCATTTCTTTACCTCAAAACCACACGGAGTCTGTTAATAGTGGACTGGTGGACTGCATACCACCACTATTACAGTGGTGACCCCGTATGAACACCGAGAGGGAACACCCCGCGACGTACCAATATTACAGTGGTGACCCGAACGAACACCGTGAAGGAAGCCCGTTACGAACGCGGGAAGGAACGTCCCTGCAAGAATTGTAGGAAAAATACCAAGGAAGACTTCAGTATATATAAAATCAGTGTAATCAAGCCGTCATTATGGAGCAAGAAGCGAAGACATCCGACACATATACATCAGTTGTCGAAGAAATTCGGAAGCTGTCATTCGAAGACGCCACGCTCAAAGTTTCTTAGCATCACACCTGTTACCAGCAACAGTACAACCAGCGCAATCAGCAACAACGAAGACCACCTTTTCGTCGCAACCGCTCTGCAAATAGAAGTCGAACAAGCTCAAGAACAAGATTCCCTTACTGCTACTATCATCGACGTTTCGGGTTCGAGGCAAGAAAATGCACAGAACCGTGTACATTGAAAAATGAAAATACGAAGGCTCTCAAACTAACTAATACGCTTGATGCGATGGGATCCGGCGTAACAGCAAAGTCCTACCGTCTTTTCGTCACCGATAAAAAGCAAGCTTACTTCCTTATCGACACCGGAGCGAATATATCAGTGTTACCGCCGAAACAAAGGCATAAGTTGAAGCCACTGGATTTTGAACTCTATGCAGCAAATAATACGGTGATTCGCAAATATGTAGAAAAAACAATGGAACTGGATTTAAACCTACACCGACCATTCAAATGGAGATTTATTCGCGCTTAAGTCAGCAAACAAATCATCGGTGCTGATTTTCTTCAACATCACCAGTTGATCGTCGACATCAAAAATAGAAGAATCATCGACGGGAAAACCAATCTTGCATCTCAGTCTTCCGTCCAAGCAACCAACCTGCCCACAATAAGAAGCATAGATGTTCAACAATCGTATCACAAGATCCTCGAAGAATACCCTGTAACCAGTCTTCTATAATTGATGACCCATGATTTTCGGGTCCTTTTCAGGTTCTTTTCTCGGTGGAGAATCTAAGAATTTTCCTCAGCGACCATGGAATTTAACGTATACCGCCCCATATACACATGCGAGATGGCGCCCGGCTTCCGGTCATCAGGGTCGGGATATGATACTCCATCTGTTTGTCCACTTTGAGTAGCAGCCAGTCCCTGATGTTTACCCAGTAATTCTGGTACGCAAGCACACGACCAATGTCGCGTGAGTCCTTCCAGGCACCTTGGGCATCAGATATAAGGATATCACATTTGATCCTTTGTGATATCTCTGACTGTATCTTTATACTCAGCGAGGTGTTTGATTTGAGATTGAGGGTATTAATATTCCACTTCAACCAGTCCAGGAACTTTTAGTCGTCACACCACAACTTTAGGACACCCTCCGTGTAAACAGGTTTGCCTCTAAAAACTGGGCCCGATGCATCAAGGTCCTGGTCCTGGTCCAGGCCTCGCTGATTATATTCCTCTCTATAGCCACGAGCATATCATCAGCTACCTCCTTTGTTGTGTGACCTGAATGTGCACACGTTAAAGCCACACCCAAATCTGCTTTAGCATCAGAAGCATAGCTCGTAGCTCGTTCTTGTAGCCTTTGGTTGCTGTTCGAGTCGCACTTTTTTGTGCTCACCTCTCGGTGAGGTGGACTCATCCAGCATCCTTTTGGCTGCTCTTTCCTTCTTACCAGGACGCTTGGCTGCTCTCTGCTTCCTGGTGGATGTCTTAGAGCTGGTTTCAGCGGCCGTGCCTACAGCTCGGGCTGGATTTTCATCCTTCCCAGTTTCAGCACAGCTACTGGTTCCAGCCCCAGGCACCGCAGTGGCAGTAACTTGCCAAACTCTCAGAGCGTTGTTTTCGGAAGCAGTGAGCGCAGCTCTTTCTCTGCGGCCTTTTTCTCGCTGCTTGTTATTCTTCTTTTTGGCCTTTGCACCACCGCCTGCTGGGATAGAGCCATCTGATGGTCCGTCAAGTCGGCAAGTTACCCTTTTGGGTGCCTTGCCTTTCCCTTTACGAATCAGCACTTGCCAAGCATCAGAGAAAAGGTCATCTGTTCTTTGAGGCTCCGCAGGGGTTTTGCCACTCGCGGACCCTTGTTCATTTTTTTGCGTCCAGCTGCTCTAATTTGGAACTGGTTTTGGAAACATCCAGCACGGAAATTGCCCCCTTGGTGGGGCCACCTACGCTGGGTAGAACGGTCTTTGGAACCGCTAGTTTAACGGCGGTTCCTTCTGGTTTATCTGTGTCTAAGGTAAACCTCTCACACGTCTCCCTCTCTACTCTACTTATGGGCCTTGTGTTATCCATGGTTTTTTAAAGTGTCATAATTCGTCCCCCCGGCTTTCCACCCTACATGGAGCCTGCACCTTTGGGAACGCCCTACTTTATCATTAAAAAATTTCAGGCGTTAGAATTGCCGGAGGAATATAAGGACGCAGAGTTGGCTCACAGCACGGCATCGAGAGCTCGATCCAGCTGGCAGATAGGGCTGCAAAGGTCCATCCCCACTGCCCGAATAGACTTTCACCTGCACCATCTGCATGGCCTTTACCAACACCTAGCCCCTTTCACAGAGACTAAGCAGCCCCCACATCCATCGCCTGCGATCCTCTGACGGGACGCTTGGCCATTTCCCTATCTGTGGCTAGCAGATAGGGCCACCGTTTAGCTTGAAATCCGGACCAAAGAGGGCGTGTTGTCTCCCGACACTATACCCCAGTGACGATCGGCTCAACCCTCCAGGAATCCTTCATCCCCGCATACGGCACTCAACTGCGCAGGTCACAGCGCAGGTGGATGTGATAGTCCACTGGATACACCCACTCTCTCCGGCGGAACCACCCCCTCCTCTTTTATATGGGCTTTGGACCAGCTGCACCAAAAAGCACAGAGAGTTGCCTGTGCTTTTTGTTGCAGGCAGAGTTTTTCATTACGTTATCGTTATCGCAAAGGAGTACACAATACATTAGCTTTCTTTCAGTGGGTTAGTGTGGTATTTAAATATCCGGCTTTTATGTATAGGCAGATTTATTCAAAGGAGTCAAAACGGTTTTGTGGTCAATTTTCAACTCCTCGGCTATGCCATATTTACTAATATGCGGATCTTGTTCCACTTTTTCAAAAGTGGCATCAACTTTGTCCATATGAGGGTGACCAGAGAGAACTGCATCTTTAACTATATACGAAAAAACTTTGTCTCCGACCTATTATAATACATAATATGCGTCTATTATACAAATAAACCTTCCTTTTGAGTCATTCTGTCTATGGATTAAATCGCATCAAAATCCATTGCTTAGTTTAAAAGATCTAAGCGTATAGACGGCGGGGAGCAACTTTTTTATACTATGTAGAAATACGCACTTTTTTAACTTTTTTATCGTAAGCATATTATCAAGGATTTAAGATGACATTGCCATTTATAGAAATCTAGCAACTGAAAAAATATTAACTCTTTTATAATTAAATCTTATCTCCATAACCTCTAACACCACTTTGGAATATTTCTTTTTTGACAGATCAATGGTAAGAATTTCGAAAAAGCAAAAAAATCATCTCAAAAACTAATGAATCAGCTGAACTTATTTAGTAAAGCATCATGGATTACATCTAAATTGCCTGAAGCCATGTTGCGGCGGTTGCAAATTGGCTGCGCGCTTTGCGGGAATGCAAGTGTACTGCTGCTGGACGAACCTACATCTGGGCTGGATGTGGAATCCCGAAGAGAAATCTGGGATATACTGCTCGTAAGTACAAAGATTTTCATTTTTAGAATGGAAAATTAAACTAAGTGACAATTGAGTCCTCCAGGCTAATTTTTAAATGAATGTTTATGATGGCACTCAAATGCGAAACACGCACTCGTTTCGTATTTAATAAGTCGGATATATAAAATATATTTTAAAAATTTGGGTATGCTTTCTAAATCGTTAAATCATATAACATAACGTAACATAAGCACTCACGCCTGTCACCCAGGGGGGTATGCAGAGACTACAGACTTCCATTTGGCATGATCCTGACACACCTTTCTCGCCTCTCCCACATCCATATACCTACACATACATGCTCGTCGGTTAAGGGTACTCTTAACCTCTAAACCCCAAGCGGTCGCACGAAACCGCAGCCATATTCCGTCAAATACCTAGCGTTCTCGTTAGACCGCACCCACCCACAGCACTTTAACCCATAAAACTTATATACAGTGTGTCCGGTTACCGGTGTCGGAGCTTTTAATGCTATAAAATATAATCAATTTCATCGACAAATCATGTCTCAAACCTAGACTAACTAAACTTTAGACCTAGCTGTAATTAAATGGCAGCCATTTAAATTTTTAGTGTCACCACCTCGACCCCGCGCATTAAAATTACAATATTCACCAATGTAGAAGTCCTACATTCTTAAAAGATATCTCATTGGATAGATAAAGATACGCGTAATGAAACAAAAGCAAACTTTTAACTGCAAAATTGTATTTAGATCCTAAAAAGACTTAGAAAAGAAAAAAATCTAAAAAAATCGGTTATTTTTTCACATTTTCGACTTTAATGAAAAATTTAAGTCAAAAAAAGTAAGTCATTTACCTAATGATTTTTTACATTAATCTGATAGATCAGAACATATCCTAACAAAAAACATAAAAATCTTAATTGTAACCAAAAAAAAAAACAGTATTATAACTGTTTGAATATGACCTTTGAAAAATTTGTCGCCCTGTTTGAGGTGAATTGATGAGAAGAGTGAAACACAATATTTCAAAATGCACGTAAGTAAAAAGTTATTTATAAAAACTGTTCGAAATGACCTCCGCGATGTTGGAGTTGTTGTGTGGTTGATGTTGTAGCCCTTATTGCCACATGTTGAGTTGCACGTCTGATTATCTTCCGATCTTGTCGTAATTCATTTCCAACTTCGATTATTTTATTAATCAACTTTTCTCGTGAGTTTGGCACGTTCGCATAAACTCTTTGCTTCATAGTGACCCATAGAAAAAGTCTAAGGGAGTTAAATCCAGTGAACGCGGAGGCCAAGCGATCCTTCCACCGCGACCAATCCACGGCGAATGGCGCTCATTTAAATAATTTCGCACATTTACTGCAAAATGTGCAAGTGCACCGTCAAGTTGGAGAAGCATCCTTGCTCTGTGAGTTAATGGAAGCTCCATTAATTCTTCCAAAAACTGTGTTTGCAAAAACTCTAAAAATCTTGGTCCATATCATATATTCTGGTAAAATTATCGGCCAATTAAAATATCTTCTTTTATTCCAGCCCAAACGTTCACTCGAATTTCATGTTGGAAAGAACTTTCTTTAACAGCATGAGGGTTGTTTTGAAGCCACAGATGCTCGTTACGATGATTTGTATAATCCGATCTCGTGAAAGTGGCTTCGTCAGTCCACAAAATTCTTTTTAAAAAATCTGCGTCTTGTCTTGTTCTTCTATTGATCCCGGAACAAAAAACTGCCCTAATAGCATAATCAGGTTTGCGAATGTCTTGTACTCGCCGAAAATGGTAAGGATGCAAACCTTCCCTCTTTAAAACTCTCCACACTGGACATCCACAAGTCGAGTGGGCCTGATGGAATCCCCCCAATTGTGCTGAGGACGTGTGCTCCAGAGTTGGCACCGGTTTTAACGCGTCTTTTCCGGTACTCCTACTCCCTAGGCGTAGTCCCAAAATCATGGAAGACGGCTTTCGTCCACCCGATCCCTAAAAAAGGCGACCGCTCAGATCCGTCCAACTACCGGCTAATCGCCATCACCTCCTTGTTCTACAAAACAATGGAGTCCATTGTAAACTGCCAGCTCATGAGGTACCTTGAAGATCACCAGCTGATTAGTGACCGCCAATACGGTTTTCGCCGTGGTCGGTCAGCTGGTGATCTTCTGTTCTACCTCACTCACAGATAGGCGGAGGCAGTAGAGTTCAAGGGGGAGGAATTGGCCGTTAGTTTGGACATTGCGAAGGCCTTCGATCGGGTTTGGCACAAAGCGCTTCTTTCGAAACTCTGTGCCCTCTTTTAGGAAAGGTGTTGGGTGCAGCCCCTTTTATAAAGTGTGTTCCACGGTGCGTGCTATCGCCAACGTGTTTCTTCTGCATATCAATGATATGTTGCATACCCGTAACATTCATTGCTATGCAGATGACAGCACTGGTGATGCTCTTTACACCGGCCGAGCCAATATTTCTCGGGAAAACGTCTCCGAGTGCCGGGACAAACTTGTGTCTGAAGTCGAGTCTTTGCTGAACAGAGTCTCGGATTGGGGACGACTAAATCTAGTCCAGTTTAACCCCCAGAAGACACAAGTTTACGCGTTAACCGCTAAAAAGAACCCCTTTGTCGTATTCGTACCCCTCAGTTTCAAGGCACTCCCCCTTGTTGCCTCAGCCAGTATCGGAATCCTCGGCGTCGACATATCGAGTGACGTGCAGTTTCGTGGTCACTTGGAAGGGAAGGCCAAATTGGCCTCTAAAAAGCTTGGCGTGCTCAGCAGAGCGGGACACTATTTCATGCCGGCACACCGCCTGCAACTTTACAAGGCGCAGGTTCGGCCGCACATGGAATACTGTTCCCATCTCTGGGCTGGGGCTCCCCAGTACCAGCTCCTTCCACTTGACCGCATCCAGCGCAGAGCGGCTCGAATCGTCGACGACCGAGTGCTTTCCGATCGGCTCGATTCACTGGCGCTGCGAAGAGATGTTGCATCTCTTTGCGTATTTTATCGCATCTATCACGGGGAGTGCTCTGAGGAATTGTTCGGATTAATCCCAGCCGCCAAATTTCGTGAACGCACTACACGGCAAACGTCCCGATACCATCCACACCATCTGGATGCTTGGCGGTCCACCACTGTACGTTTCACAAGGAGTTTTCTTCCACGTACAAGCCTCTCTGTGGAATAGTTTACCACCGGCGATTTTTCCGGACCGATACGACCTGGGGACCTTCAAGAAAAGAGCTTGCTCCTTTCTAAAAGGCCGGCAACGCAACCGCAATTCTCCTGGTGTTGCGGTTGATCATGGGCGGCGGTAGTCACTTAACATCAGGTGAGCCGCATGCTCGTTTGCCCCTTCTTCTATAAAAAACAAAATTTGTTAAATTAAGCATATTGCTTATTCGTCTTACACCGAGTCTGGGATCTTGTGTAATTAAACGTAATATCTCTTCTTCCTCCTTAGGTGCCACAGGCCGAAATCTTTCATTAGCGGGTCTTCTAATCCCAAGTTCAGCTATCCGCAAATTTATCCTTACAAAAGTGCAAGCATTTGGTGTAGGCCTGTTGGAAAACATTCTGGCGTACTCTGTGACAGTTCTGTTTGCGTTGCCGTTGCACAATCCATACACAAAGTGGATATCAGCGACATGCTGGTTTGAGTATTCACCATCTGCCATTTTTGAAAATATCAAAATAACTAGAAACTTCACCACAAACTTAAAAAGTTCCATCAAACGAATTTTTTTTAACAATAACAACAACAAGCGATCTTAGAGGGGCAAAAGTAGTATAATCACAACGCGTGGCGAGGGACGACTGTTTTTGTGTCCCAAGTACACTTGTTTAGAACATCAAACAATGGGAAATCAACAACAACAAAAAAAAATTTCTACATGCTCTTGAACTATCATAAATGATCCTGCACGTGCAGCTTGCGCTTTTAAGAGATCGTGTTTGATAAAGTACAATTCTTAAACTATTTAAGTTACAATTAAGATTTTTATGTTTTTTGTTAGGATATGTTCTGATCTATCAGATTAATGTAAAAAATCATTAGGTAAATGACTTACTTTTTTCGTTAAAGTCGAAAATGTGAAAAAATAACCGATTTTTTTTTACTTCATTTGATTTTTTTTTTCTAAGTCTTTTTAGGATCTAAATACAATTTTGCAGTTAAAAGTTTGCTTTTATTTTATTACGCGTATCTTTATCTATCCAATGAGACGTCTTTTAAGAATGTAAGACTTCTACATCGGTGAATATTGTAATTTTAATGCGCGGGGTCAAGGTGGTAACACTGAAAAATTTAAATGGCTGCCATTTAAATACAGCTAGGTCTAAATGAGATTTGAGACATGATTTGTCGGTGAAATTGATTATATTTTATAGCATTAAAGGCTCCGACACCGGTAACCGGACACATTGTATAAAGACTACTTTTCTATGAAGAAGTTTGGTGTCAAGGTTGGTTATGGTGGTAGAATCAATATAAAATTTTAAATTATTTAAATTTCTATCCTCTAGTGCGTTAAAAAAACAGTTATCTTATGGATATTAATTTATAATCTACGTTCATTTCGTACGCCATTTTCGCGTGAATGTTATTGTGTTGATTTTTGGATTTTCTATTTGGAATATAATTTATCTTTTTACGTAAATGATTTTTAATAATATATATCGAAATAATTGTTATTTACACGCTGTCGACATTCACTTGGTATGTTTCTTTTAGTTACCAAAATACAATAAAATCTTTTCGTAATGAGGTACAACCTGACCTTTGTTTAGACCACAAGATATAGAATTTTATATAGATTTTATAATGCCAAACTTCTTTATAGAAAAGTAGTCCCTAAATATAAGTTTTAATGGTTTTAAGTGCTGTGAGAGGGTGCGGTCATATGCGACCGCTCGGGATTTGCCGGGCGCATGCGACTGTATGGGATTTCTTTGGTGCTTGAGGGGTTATTTTTGCCCCTTTTCAATAGATCGCCAATTTGCTCGGCAAACTTTCGCCTAAGGCGTC